CAGAAGCTTTGCTAACGGGCTGGTGGAGGCTAGATCTTTGAGCATTTGAAGTTGGAAAACTGCAATTTGGGGAGTTGCTTCTGCATTCTGGGTGGGGGCAAAGAGCTGAAATTTGTTCTTAGGTCAACTCCTCATTTCTGTCCACTTTTGTAAACTTTTTTTTTTTTTTTTTTTTGAGGCAGTCTTGCTTTGTTGCCCAGGTTGGAGTGCAGTGGCATGGTCTTGGCTCACTGCAACCTCCACTTCCCGGACTCAAATGATTCTCCTGCCTCAGCCTCCTGAGTAGCTGGGATTACAGGTGTGAACCAGTACGCCCAGCCACACTTTGGTAAACTTTTTCATCATATTAACCTAAGGCCAGTTAATTCCCAATTCTTTAAAAGAAACCATGAATCAACAAGTTATACAAATTCAGATACTTCCAACTGAGACGGTAACATTCTGCTTAGTCATTTAAATTAGCACATTATCAACTGAATCGTGCTGCTCCAGAGATAGAAAATATTTTCCTGAATAAACGGAATTGGAACTAATCCACAGCTAAAATGATTTCATTCTTGGGAGGTATGTGCTTGGCTTTGTCCTAGCATGTGTTCACTAGATCTGGAGATCAGATTGTGGCAAGAAGAATGCTCAGGTTAAACTTCTCCAGCTAGTGCCTGAGGAAATAGAATCCCAAGGAAACAAATAGTATACGTATTCATGCTCCCTGGGCAGTGTACAGGACTGGCTACACAGTCTGTGGAGTCCAATACAAAATGAAAATACAGATTCCCCTTTTAGGGACTGGAAAAGACTCTCCTTGATTAAATTTTAGTCAAGATCCTCTGGATGGGCTGGGTGCAGTGGCTCATGCCTGTAGAATCCCAGCACTTTGGGAAGCGGAGGTGGGCGGATCACTTGAGGCCAGCAGTTTGAGACCTGCGTGGCCAGCATAGCAAAAACCCGTCTCTACTGAAAAAACAACCAACCAAACAACCAACCATTAGCTAGTTGTGGTGGTGCACACCTGTAATCCCAGCTACCAGGGTGGCTGAGGCAGGAGAATTGCTTAAACCTGGGAGGTGAAAACTGCAGTGAGCTGAGATCTCACCATTGCACTCCAGCCTGGGCAATGTGGTAAGACTCTGTCTCAAAAAAAAAAAAAAAAAAATCCTCTCAACTCTCTCTCATTAGCCTCAATGTTGGCTCCCATCTTTGCCAGGCCTGCATAGTTTAGTTGTATCGTAAATCCTACTCAGTCCGTTTAGAGAGAATTCCCCATCCTTGATACCTGATCATCCTGGTCTGCTTTAGCAAGAGCCCTGTTTAAGTTGGTTATCAATAATCTCCCTACTATAAGTTGGGCATGGTGGCTCACCCCTGTAATCTCAACACTTTGGGAGTGCTAGGCAGGAAGATCATTTGAGGCCAAGAGTTCAAGACTAGCATGGGTAACATAGTAAGACCTCATCTCTACAAAAAAATAAATAAATAAAAAATAAAAAAAGTAGCTGGGCATGGTGGCACACACCTGTGGACCCAGTTCTCGGGAGGCTGAGATAGAAGGGTTGCTTGAGCCCAGGAAGTCAAAGCTGCAGTTAGCCATGATTGTGCCACTGCACTCCAGCCTGAGTGACAGTGACAGAGCAAGATCTCGTCTCAAAAAAAAAAAAAAAAAGAAGAATCTCCCTACCATTGTTGTCTCGCCTTAGTAATTTCTATCCATTAACTCCACAACTCTGAAAATTGGTTATAAATTCCCACTTGTCCTCCCTTGTATTTGGAGTTGAGCCCTGTCTCTCTACTCTATTGAGTCTTGACACCTATCGTAACTGTCCTAAATAAAGTCTTCCTTATCATTGTAATAAGTGTCGGAATAATTTTTTCCTGAACTGTTACAGTGTTGTGACTCAAATAGGATCAGATTCATCATTGCACACCCAGAACTGCTCACCCAGGACCTCAAGTGTTCAAGTTTGAAGACTTTGCCTTCGCTCTTGACTGATTAGGGATCACATTGGTGAGTCAGGCTCCTGAAGCAAGGCAGCAAATGACAGTCTGTTGAAACACTTTTGATTTTGATTCTTAAGATGTAAGGACAGGCTGGGCTTGGTGGCTCACACCTGTAATCCTAACATTTTGGGAGGCAGAGGTCGGTGGATCATATGAGGTCAGGAGTTCAAGACCAGCCTGGCCAACATGTTGAAACCCCATCTCTACTAAAAATACAAAAGCCAAACGTGGTGGCATATGCCGGTAAGCCTAGCTACCCAGGAGGCTGAGGCAGGAGAATCACTTGAACCCGGAGGATAGAGGCTGTAGTGAGCCAAGATTGTGCCACTTCAGGCTGGGCAAAAGAGCAAAATTCTGTCTCAAAAAAAAAAAAAAAAAAAAAAAGATGTAAGGACAGATTTTGATTCTCTCTCTCTCCTATTTTTTTTAGAGATGGGGTTTCACCATGCTGGCCAGACTGGTCTCAAACTTCTGGCCTCAAGTGATCCACCTGCCTTGGCCTCCCAAAGTGTTGGGATTATAGGCATAAGCCACCACGCTTGGCCCTATCAAATTAATTTCTAAAATCCTATGAAAGAATGCTATTTAAGTTGATTTAGAGATAAATACATGCTTAAGTAAAGTTAATATTCTTAAAACTCTTAGAAATATGGGCACTAACCCAAATGATTTTTAAGTTCACATGTATTGAGTAAATCTTTGATATCTAAGACTAATTTGGTGTTATTGGCTTTATAAAAATGAGTATGTCTTATAATTTTCAGCATCAAATATGATATGCTTATTTTTATTCTACTTGGGGTTACTAGTCAAATGAGGTAATATTATATTTACTAGATATTTAAGATTATAAAAATTCACCAAGTGTGATGGTTCATGGCTGTAATCCCAGGACTTTGGGTGGCCAAGGTGGGTGGATTGCCTGAGCCCAGGAGCTCAACACCAGCCTAGGCAATATAGTAAGACCCTGTCTCTGCAAAAAGTACAAAAAATAAGCCAGGCATGGTGATGCACACCTGTAGTCCCAGATACCCTGGAGGCCAAGGTGGGAGGATCACCTGAGCCTAAGAGGTCAGGCTGTGGTGAGAGGAGATCACATCATTCACTCCAGCCAGGCAACAGAGTGAGATCCTAGCTCAAAACAACAACAAAAAGATTATAAAAATTATAAATTCACTATAACAAAAAATGTACAAGTAATGATGTAGTAAAGTGAATCATTTGATATCTGTTACTTTATGCATATCAAGCACAGCCGTAAAACACACCAATGTATTGAATCTTTTTAGATTTTTGCTTATGCAATACTTGCCTAACAGCCATAGACTATAAAAGTACTTAACAGAGAAATAACATGAGATGATGGCTAGCTATGTTTAATGATATGTCTGCCTGAAAATAGTTTCCAAAATCTTTTTGGTAACTTGGAACCTTAGAGTTATGCTAAGTTAAATAATAGATATTCATTAAAAATGTAGATCATTTCTAAGTAAGATAAACTACTGAAACATTCATTATTAAGCATAAGTTTAATTTTATATACTTCTGGTTTCTTATTTTTATATGGTACAGCCAAGCTAAATATATTTGGATCTATTAATAAACATGTTCTTTTTGCCACATTGGAAAACTGTACTATGAAAAAGCATATACCTATAAAAATTGTCGGATGGTATATATCCATAAAATATGCTAGTCTGCCACAGAAGGCTGGTATGTGACAGACAATCCACAATTGTCTACTTCCTAGTTTTGTCTGTTAAAAAAGGTTACTGGCCGGATGCGGTGGCTCACGTCTGTAATCTCAGCATTTTGGGAGGCTGAGGCAGGGTGGATCACGAGGTCAGGAGTTCGAGACCAGCCTGGCCAACTTGGCGAAAACCCATCTCTACTAAAAAAATATTAAAAATTAGCCGGGTATGGTGGCCAGTGCCTGAAATCCTAGCTACTTGGGAGGCTGGGTCAGGAGAACTCCTTGAACGTGGGAGGTGGAGGTTGCAGTGAGCAGAGATTGCGCCACTGCACTCCAGCCTGGGTGACTGGAGCGAGACTCCATTTAAAAAAAAAAAAAAAAAAAAGGTTACTAATGGTTAAAAGTAATAATCAATACATGTAAATAAAACTACTAAAAATAACAAGGGTGAGGAGAAGCAACTTTGCATAAAAAGTATGCAAGCAATGTAGGATGTGTTTCTGTTAAGAGAAAAAGAGAGTAATTTTATCCTAAATTAAAATGACTGGTTGTTCCAGAATGAGAAAGATAAAAAGTAGAGGACAAAAACTGAATGGATATAAAAAGTTGTAGAGTGCTTGTGGAAAAGGAATTTTGGAAAAGGAATTTTATCTTATGTGGTCAGAGCTGACTAAGATTGGATAGGTTTATTTATAAGGGTTTTAAAAAATAAAAAAAGTACACTAGAAAGAGTAAAATTGTACATCAAAAGTACAATGACGTGAAACTAGAATTTAGCTTTCTCTATATTAAAAATCACAAAGTTTTCTTGGATCATTACTCTGCTCTTAGTAAGAGATTACACTAGGTTTTCTTTATCTTTTGAGTGACCTGCCCAGGAAACCAAGATTTTGTGTCTTATCAGAATTATTTTCTATGCTTCATGTTAACCTTGATTATGTCCTTGATTATTTAAGACAACGTTTTTCACTTTTTATTTTTATTTATTTGTTTTTTTGGAGACAAGAGTCTTGCGATCTCGGCTCACTGCAACCTCCGCCTCCCAGGTTCAAGTGATTCTCCCGCCTCAGCCTCCTGAGTAGCTGGGATTATGGGAGCACCCCACCACACCTGGCTAATTTTTTTTTTTTTTTTTTTTTTTTGTATTTTTAGTAGAGACGGGGTTTCACCATGTTGGTCAGGCTGGGCTCCAACTCCTGACCTCATGATCTTCCCGTGTCAGCCTCCCAAAGTGCTGGGGTTATAGCTGTTAGCCACCATGCCCGGCTGCTTTTCACTTTTTAAAAGATCCAGGGGCCTTTCTGAGAGCAAGATGGGTCACCAGCAGCTGTACTGGAGCCACCCGCGAGAATTCAGCCAGGGTTGTCGCTCTTGCCGAGTCTGTTCAAACCGACACGGTTTAATCCAGAAATATGGTCTCAATATGTGCCGCCAATGTTCCCGTCAGTACGCGAAGGATATAGGTTTCATTAAGTTGGACTAAATGATCTTCAAAGGATTATCCAAGACATCTACCATGAAAAACCATGATAGTTCTTTGTACATAAAATAAACATTTTTAGCCGGGCGCGGTGGCTCAAGCCTGTAATCCCAGCACTTTGGGAGGCCGAGGCGGGTGGATCACGAGGTCGAGAGATCGAGACCATCCTGGTCAACATGGTGAAACCCCGTCTCTACTAAAAATACAAAAAATTAGCTGGGCATGGTGGCGCGTGCCTGTAATCCCAGCTACTCAGGAGGCTGAGGCAGGAGAATTGCTTGAACCCAGGAGGCGGAGGTTGCGGTGAGCCGAGATCGCGCCATTGCATTCCAGCCTGGGTAACAAGAGCGAAACTCCGTCTCAAAATAAATAAATAAATAAATAAATAAATAAATAAATAAATAAATAAACAAACATTTTTAAAAACAAAAACAAACAAGAAAAGAGCTCTGGGCCAGGCACAGTGGCTCACGCCTGTAATCCCTGCACTTTGGGAGACTGAGGCAGGTAGATCACTTGAGGTCAGGAGTTTGAGACCAGCCTGGCCAATATGATGAAACCCTGTCTCTACTAAAAAATAAAAAAAATTAGCCGGGTGTGGTGGCACATGCCTATAATCCCAGCTACTCAGGAGGCTGAAGCAGGAGAATTGCCTGAACCAGGGAAGCAGAGGTTGCAGAGAGCTGAGATCGCTCCAACTGCACTCCAGCCTGGGCAACAAGAGTGAAACTCTGTCTCAAAAAAAAAAAAAAAAAAAAATTAGCCCGGCCTGGTGGCCTGCAATTGTTTGAACCGGGGAAGCAGAGGTTGCAGTGAGCTGAGACCGTGCCGCTGTACTCTAGCCTGGGCTACGGAGTGAGACTCCATCGCAAAAAAAAAAAAAAAAAAAGAAAGAAAGAAAGAAAGAAAGGCAGCTATGTTTTCTTTACAGTTGTTTTATTTTCTATACTTTCTGAATTCTTTTGTGTTACTTTGGTCAAATAGGTGGCAATTGTCTCACAGTGTTATAGATTATTATTTATTTATTTGAGATGGAGTTTCACTCTTGTTGCCTAGGCTGGAGTGCAATAGCACAATCTCGGCTCACTGCAACTTCTGCCTCCCAGGTTCAAGCGATTCTCCTGCCTCAGCCTCCCAAGTAGCTGGGATTACAGGAATGCGCCACCATACCTGGCTAATTTTGTATTTTTAGTAGAGACAGGGTTTCTCCATGTTGGTCAGGCTGGTCTTGAACTCCCAACCTCAGGTGATCTGTACAGGCGTGAGTCATAGCATCCTGTTATAGCTCTTATTTAATTAAATATTCAAACCTTTTGATATTTCTGACAATTTTGTCTTCCCCAAATCAAATTCTAAATGAAATCTTGATTTTGAATGGAATTTGATTATTCCTAAAGGGCCTCTGGAAAATCTCAAAGAATATATTCTTTCACCTTGCAAAGGGTGAGTTTTTTTAAAAAAAAAATTGTGTTTATTCTACATGTTGAATTGCAGGAAACGCATCAAATTGGGCCTGGCACAGTGGTTCATGCCAGTAATCCAAGCGTTTTAGGAGGCCAAGGAGAAGCTTGCTTGAGCTCAAGAGTTTGAGACCAGCCTGGGCAACATAGGGAGACCCTGTCTCTACAGAAAATAAAAAAGTTAACCAGGGCATAGCGGTACACACCTGTACTCCCAGATACCCAGGAGCCTGGGGTAGGAGGATCACTTTGGCCTAGGAGATCATTGCACCACTGTACTCCAGCCCGGGCGACAAACAAACAAACAAACAAACAAAAAGAACGTGTACTGTCCATTGTATTGTATTGACTCTTCTCTCTTTGAACAAAAAAATGAGACTGATGACGATTTGCTCCTCTATTTTTAGTAGAGACAGGGTTTAGTTAGTTCTTTAGTTAGTCTGAGCCGTCTTCTTACCCAGGCCTTGACCTTGGTCCCCATGTTTGCTGGGCTTGCATAGCTCAGTAATAGCAAGAATCCTGCTGCATCAGTTTAGAGGGGAGCTCCTACCTTTGATGTCTGATTACTTGGTCAGCCTTTAGCAAGAATCCTGTTATGTCAGTATAACAAGAATTCCTCTATCTTTGATGCTTCTTCTTAAGTAATTTTTCATCCAGTGACCTTGTACCTACCTCACATTCTGTTCCTTGGTTATGGTAATAAATTTCCACTGTCCTTGCTGTATTTGGAATTGAACTCTAATCTCCTTCTCCAATTGTGGTAGTCTCGGCACCTTTCACAGCGGTGCTTCTTCCTGCCACCTGCGGGACCAGGCACCATGCCCACCCTGGGGCAGGAAGTTGAAACAGACATCCATGCCAGGAAGCTCAAGGCACCTGGATCAGGGCTGGGGAAGAGGTAAGGTTCCTCCTTCTCCCTCTGGGCAGAGGGCAAGTTAGAGCTTCAGAGACAGGCACAGGTAGAGGACACCTGTGTCCAGCAGTGTGGATATCTCACGAAGGACACTCAGGCAAAATGAAGAGTCCTGAGCAGAAACAAAATAAAGCAGAACAAACTGAGGCATTTGTTTTGGAGCATATGAGGAAATCCCCTGAGAAAAAGATGACTTAAAAGGAACCACATTTTAGCAAATGGATCAGTGATAAATTAGTTACAAAATATTAATGTAACTTCATTTTGAAGTTACACACTGCTGAGGCCAAATTCTGTCAATTGCACATGCCACAGATGATAAGTAACTGGAATCATCATTTTTTTTCTAAATGTGAGGGGAAAAAAGTCTATGGCTATTCACCACTTTAAAAATCAAAATAAAAATGAATTTCTTGGCTGTGATGCCAAAAGCACAGACTACAAAACAAAGCAGACTTTATCAAAATTAAAGACTTCTGTGTATTAAAGTAAAAAGAAAACAAAATGGAGAGGAAATATTTGTGAATCCTATGTCGGATAAGGATTAATATGCAGAATATATAAAAATATACAGTAGGAGGCCGGGTGCAGTGGCTCACATCTGTAAACCAGCATTTTGGGTGGCTGAGGTGGGCAGATCATGAGGTCAAGAGACTGAGACCATCCTAGCCACCATGGTGAAACCCTGTGTCTACTAAAAAGCACCCAAATTAGCTGGGCGTGGTGGCACACGCCTGTAGTCCCAGCTACTTGGGAGGCTGAGGCAGGAGTATTGCTTGAACCTGGGAGGCAGAGGTTGCAGTGAGCCGAGATCCAGCCACTGCACTCCAGCCTGGCACTTGGCAACAGAGCGAGACTATCTCAAAAAAAAAAAAAAAAAAAAAAAAGATATACAGTAGGAATAGGGAATTATTGTTTAATGGGCACAGTTTCAGTGAGGGATGATGAAAAATTCTTAAGTACTTTAAGACTGGATAAATATCCTGTGAAATTCGAACTCAAGCATCTTAGCATCCATTGATGACTGCTACCTGAGTCAATTATTTGTATGATTATAAAATGGTAATTTGCTTTTCTTTTCTTTCTTTCTTTCCTTCTTTTTTTTTTTTGAGGCGGAGTCTCACTCTGTCACCTAGGCTAGAGTGCAGTGGCTCAAACTCTGCTCACCACAACCTCCGCCTCCTGGGTTCAAGCAATTCTCCTGCCTCAGCCTCCCGAGTAGCTGGGATTACAGGCGTGCGCCACCATGCCTGGCTAATTTTTTGTATTTTTAGTAGAGACTGGATTTCACCATGTTTAGCCAAGAAGGTCTCAATCTTCCGACCTTGTGATCTGCCCGCCTCAGCCTCCCAAAGTTGCTGGGATTACAGGCATGAGCCACTGTGTCCGGCTACAAAATGGTAATTTTCTATTATTTATTTATCAAATATTATTCTAAGATATAATGTTTTTATAGCAAATAAATACAGTCTTTTGTATGGCAGATATATCAGAAGTAAGTTTGTTTTATGTCTCTTTTTATTTTATTTTATTTTTTTGAGACAGAGTCTTGCACTGTTGCTGGGGCTGGAGTGCAGTTGTGGTATCTCTGCTCACTGCAAGCCTGCCTCCCAGGGTCAAGCGATTCTCCTGCCTCAGGCTTCCTTATAGCTGGGATTATAGGTGTGTGCCACCACACCTGGCTAATTTTTTGTATTTTTAGTAGACAGGGTTTCACTATGTTGGCCAGGCTGGTCTTGAATGCCTGACCTCGATCCACCTGCCTCGGCCTCTCAAAGTGTTGGGATTACAGGCATGAGGCCCCATGCCTGGCCCCTGTTTTATGTCTTTTTAGTTTTTTTTTTTTTTTTTTTTTTTTGAGACATAGTCTTGCAGTGTCACTCAGGCTGGAGGGTAATGGGGCCATCTCTGCTTGCTGCAACCTCTGCCTCTCAAGTTCAAATGATTCTCCTGACTCAGCTTACACAGTAGCTGGGATTACAGGCACCCATCATCACGGCTAATTTTTTTTTTTTTTTTTTTTTTTTTTTGAGACGGAGTTTTGCTCTTGTTATCCAGGCTGGAGTGCAATGGCGCGATCTCGGCTCACCGCAACCTCCGCCTCCTGGATTCAGGCAATTCTCCTGCCTCAGCCTCCTGAGTAGCTGGGATTACAGGCACGCACCACCATGCCCAGCTAATGTTTTGTATTTTTAGTAGAGACGGGGTTTCACCATGTTGACCAGGATGGTCTCGATCTATTGACCTCGTGATCCACCCACCTCGGCCTCCCAAAGTGCTGGGATTACAAGCTTGAGCCACCACGCCCGGCTAATTTTTGTATTTTTAAGGAAGATAGCATTTCACTACATTGGCCAGGCTGGTCTCAATTTTCTGACCTGGTGATCCACCCTCCTCGGCCTCCCAAAGTACTGGGATTACAGGCATGCACCACTGTGACCAGCCTTAGGTATTTTAAAAGAATTTTGAGACAGGATCTCACTTTGTCACCCAAGCTGGAACTGTGACATGAACATGCTTAAGCCTCAACTTCCCAGGCTTAAGCAATCCTCTTGCCTCAGCCCCCAAGTAGCTGGAATCACAGACATGCACAACCATGCCTGGCTAATTTTTGTATTTTTAGTAGAGACGGGTTTTCATCGTGTTGCCCAGGCTGGT